GAACTCCTCGGGGCTGAGGTACAGATCCCGGTCAGTGTCCAAGGAGGAGAAGAGAAAGAGGCCTTCCGTCCCCAGGGCCTTCAGCGCCGACTCCTGCGGGGGAGGGCGGGCTGCACACCAGCTGGGCACCAGCCCCTGGGCTCCGGGGATGGAGAGCGCGTGTTCACGGCACCTTCACCTGTCAGGGCCCCGCTTCCCCACCGCCGGGAGGAGTCCAGAAGCCTTTCTGTGGGAGGTGGGGAGGGCACCCTCACATGGGGGGCTGGGCTGGGAGTCACTGCCCCCCCCCCCTCCGCCAGGACCCTGGATCCACTGGCGCTCTCTTCCTCATTCATGTCAAGGTCCCCAGGAGCTGAGAGCTCTGTCTGCACTTTCTCAGGAGAGGGCAGCCTCTGGACGGAACGGAGCCCAGGGGGGCAGCGCTGTCCTTGGAGATGCCAGCCCCAGTGCTGGTGCACCTGCCAGGTGTGGGAGGTCAGCGGGGTTTGGCAGGCACCAAGCACCCACTGTGCAAGGCACTGGCTGTTGCGTGCCCCACGTGATCTCATTTTGCTCTCGAGCCACCGGGTGAGGTGAGGATGATTTGCCTCTTTTTAAAGTGAAGGGGACTGAGTTCTGGCACGTGGGTTTATCGGAGTCAAATCTCTTGCCATGCTTACCTCCCAGGGGATGACCCAGCCGACTGTGTGGGGCAGGGGCTGGCCTCTCCCACCACTCCTGTCCCTCATGGGTAACCAGCCATGACAGCACCATGCACGCAGGGCCCCGTCTCCCCAGCGCCGCGTGGGACCTGGCACGTGGTGGGCACGCCAATGTCTTTTGGATGAATGACTCCCAGGGACCAGGAGTTGTGGGTCCTGGACCCAGCCCTTGCCCAGTGCTCTGGCCCCACATCCTCAGTGGCACCCGCTGAGGGCCTGACATCTGGTGTTGGCTTCCAACTGTGCCCCTTCCAGCTCGTTACCATTAATGTTTGGGGACACCCAGCATACGGCAGATGCCATTAGAAAAGCAAATTCTGTTCTGTCAGGAAGCGAAGCTAACAGAGCACAAAGCAGGTTAGGAGGGGAAGATTGATGAGCCAAAGCCCCTGGAAAACAAATGAGGGAAGTTTTCTTTACCAGATAACTTTTATTTATTACACTTGCTTTTTGTTAAAGACACAGACACCCTGCCGGTCCACTGGCGGTTTTTCTGGAGAGCAGCTTTGGGCATGGGCATGCTTGGGGAGTGACCTGGGGATGGAGGTGGGCGGAGCTGGAGGAATTATTTTCCTGTCTGTCAAGTCCCCAGGACCCTGGATCCATTGGCACTCTCTTCCTCATTCATGTCAAGGTCCCCAGGAGCTGGGAGCTCTGTCTGCACTTTCCCAGGAGAGGGCAGCCTCTGGACGGAACGGAGCTCAGGGGGACAGCGCCGGAGCCCAGGGGGGCAGCGCCGTCCTTGGAGACGCCAGCCCCGTGCTGGTGCACCTGCCAGGTGTGGGAGGTCAGTGGGGTTTAGCAGGCACCAAGCACCCACAGTGCAAGGCACTGGCTGTTGCGTGCCCTACGCGATCTCATTTTTCTCTCAAGCCACCGGGTGGGGTGAGGATGATTTGCCTCTTTTTTTTTTTTAATATATTTTATTGATTTTTTTACAGAGAGGAAGGGAGAGGGATAGAGAGTTAGAAACATCCATGAGAGCGAAACATCGATCAGCTGCCTCCTGCACACTTCCCACTGGGGATGTGCCCGCAACCAAGGTACATGCCCTTGACCGGAATCGAACCCGGGACCCTTGAGTCCGCAGGCCGACGCTCTATCCACTGAGCCAAACCAGTTAGGGCGATTTGCCTCTTTTTAAAGTGAAGAGGACTGAGTTCTGGCACATGGGTTTATCGGAGTCAAATCTCTTGCCATGTTTACCTCCCAGGGGATGACCCAGCCGACTGCGTGGGGCAGGGGCTGGCCTCTCCCACCACTCCTGTCCCTCATGGGTAACCAGCCATGACAGCACCATGCACGCAGGGCCCCGTCTCCCCAGCGCCCCGTGGGACCTGGCACGTGGTGGGCACGCCAATGTCTTTTGGATGAATGACTCCCAGGGACCAGGAGTTGTGGGTCCTGGACCCAGCCCTTGCCCAGTGCTCTGGCCCCACATCCTCAGTGGCACCCGCTGAGGGCCTGACATCTGGTGTTGGCTTCCAACTGTGCCCCTTCCAGCTCGTTACCATTAATGTTTGGGGACACCCAGCATACGGCAGATGCCATTAGAAAAGCAAATTCTGTTCTGTCAGGAAGCGAAGCTAACAGAGCACAAAGCAGGTTAGGAGGGGAAGATTGATGAGCCAAAGCCCCTGGAAAACAAATGAGGGAAGTTTTCTTTACCAGATAACTTTTATTTATTACACTTGCTTTTTGTTAAAGACACAGACACCCTGCCGGTCTCTGGACCCAGGGCTGGAGAGATGTGCTGCTGGGACTGGGAAGGTCAGCGGGTGCTGGGACGGGTGGGTTTACAAGCCTCTGGGAGAAAGGATCACCCCTGGGACTCAGCTCTGGGCTTCCATAGAGCTGCCCAGAGGCCAAGAGCCGCTGTTAGACCTGAGCAGGCCTCTCTGGGCCGCCGTTTCCTCCTCTGTGAATCTTTGCCTGCAGGATTTGTCCAGACTCCAGACTCCATGAAGAGGAAATATGAATTGGACCTCAACCTTCCCCCAGAGCAGAGACACCTCTCGGCCAGATCCCTGGGCACGCTCTCAGCATCCTCCTTCAACCCTCCACCCCGATCTGAGCACCCCCCAAGGCCAGGCCAGCCCCCGGAAGCCCTGGGACAGTCAACAAATCTTCCTCCCAATTTCATAGATTCAGGGCCAACAACAAGATGCTTGCACAATGCAAAAGGCATAAAATGTTCAGATTTATTGCTTTGAGAGTTTGGTTTGTCTCCTGGGCCTGGTTGACGCAGCTTCCTTCAGGTTTCAGAGCATTTTGTTTAAAAAAAAAAAAAGAATTTTGACAGCAATGTTTTGCCTCATATTTTCACAAGGCTTTATAGTTTACAAAGGACATTCACATAGAGCAATCATCACTATATGTATTGAATTTCTACACTGGGGAGCTCAACCCTGGAAATCACCCTCCTTTTCCACAGATGGGGAAGCAGAGGCTCAGAGAGGTTAAGGGCCTTGCCTAAGGTCACACAGCCCAGGGAAAGGTTTCACCCTGCTCTTGGTCTCTTCCGTCCTGCCACTCTGCTTTTCTCATCTCCAACCTGCCCTAAAGCACAGTGGTCTGCAGATAGACAGTGAGTGAGAACAAAACAAAACAAAATAAAAGCCAGAGGCTTTTGCAGAAAACAATCAGAGGCTGGGATGAGTATAAAAATAACCAGGTATGTTCAAGGGAAGATTATTTTTGTAATGATGCCATTGGTGGAGGGCCACGGAGTCAGCAAGCAGAGGACAGGCTTTCTAAGTTCTAAGACTGCACTGTCCAGATCGGCGACCAGGAACCACACGTGGCTATTCATAGTTAATTAAAATGAAACAAAACCAAATATTTTGTTCCTCAGCCTGGCCAGTGTGGCTCAGTGGTTGAGCGCTGACCTATGAACCAGAAGGTCACGGTTCAGTTCCCAGTGTAGGGCGTGCAGGAGGCAGCCGGTCAATGATTCTCCCTCATCATTGATGTTTCTATCTCTCTCTCCCCCTCCCTTCCTCTCTGAAATCAATAAAAATATATTAAAGTAAAAATTTGTTCCTCAGTTGCACTGGCCACATTTTAAGCGCTCCACATCCACATGTGGCTACCCTACTGGACGGCACAGATATGGGACATTTCCATCGTCACAGAAAGTTCACTGGGCAGTGTGGTTCCAAGCCACCAGCAAGCCTGCTCCTTTCTCATCCTGACTGCCCTGGAGGAGGGGGCGTTGCTGGGCAGGCAATAGCCACGCCTGTTTCAAGGTCGCTTCTTCTGCAGCTGAGATACCTATAGATGCCATCCCAGCATCCAATTCCCTCTATTCTACTCTGGAGAGGTTACAACTCCAGGATGCAAACACAAGGCAGACACCAAAGGAGTGGTCATTAACTGAGGTCTTGCTACTCCAAGTGCGGTCCTAGGACCCGCAGCACCCGCATCTCCTGGCAGGCTGTTCGAAGTGCAGGATCTTAGGCTCCATGTCAGAGCCACTGAATACAAACCTGCATTAAAAAAAAAAAATCCTTACCCAAGGATATTTTTCCATTGATTTTTAGAGAGCGTGGAAGAGAGAGGGAAAGACAGAGACATCGATGTGAGAGAAACACATTGATTGGTTGCCTCCTGCACTCCCCTAACCAGGGCCCAGGCTGGGGAGGAGCCTGCAACCTAGGTACATGCCCTTGACCAGCATCAAACCCGGGACCCTTTTTGGTCTGCAGGCTGACGCTCTGTCCACTGAGCCAAACCGGCTAGGGCTGAACCTGCATGTTAACAAGATCCCCGGATGGTTCAGGTGCACATTCAAGTTTGAGAAGCTCTGATTTAAGAGACAGGCTGAGTGGGATCAAAATATTGTCCCAAATAGAGGAAACTAAACAGATATTTTTAGATACAAAATAAAAGGCATCGGAGTGTGTTTTTAGGGATAGACCCCAAAGGGGCAGCTGGGGGGAGCTGGCCCATTTCCCATCTCCAGCACCTTCTCAAACCATGAAGGGTGACCTCCCTAAAGCACAGGGAACAGAACTGAGAATCCCATTTTGGATCTCGGGGATGTTGTCTTTAAATCAGATGTTCTGTTTCTGCTTTTCTTTCCAATGCATTTGGCTATTGAACTTTGTAACTTGCCAAAGACACAATGTGGTGCGTGAAGCCAGTCTGAACAAGCAAACAGTCACTTAAAGGGAGGCATCTGGAAAAGGACCGTGTCCCCCTCTTCCCAGGAGTGCGATGCTCTGCAGGCCTCAGTGCCTGAGCCAGGTGCTAGTGAAGCTTTCTGGGAAGGAACCAGAATCCAGCTGTTACATGACGAGAACAGGTGCAAAGGGTTCCGTCACAGCGAGGGCAAAAACGAGGCCTCAGTGAGCCCAGCATCACGCTGACCCGGCTCCGAAGGAGGATCTGCTCAGGGCCTGGTTCTGGAGCTTGGATTCTGCTTCAGTGAGGATGATTCATCCTAATTCCTCTCTCCTCTCAGCCTACCCTGGGTCTTACTTATTTTTATCCCTGGAATGGAGTTAAATTGCCTAAAGGACGATGTTTCTTCACCTGCAAGGGCCCTCCTGGAGGATGAATTTTAAAATATTCATTTTTACAACTTGCTCCCAGCAGTAACAGAGCTGGAGAAGACGAGATGCTGGGGGAGGAGAGGAGGACAGTGACACGAGCCCAGCGGGGAGCCTGGGGCCTCGGGGAACTTGGAAATGACTCTGTAGTCGGGAGATAGTCCAGGAATTGACTCTGAGGAGTTGGATAGAGGGAAAAGAATGGCCAGCTATGCTCTCGTTACTCTCTTTATGATACTGAAAAACTGAAGCAAAACCTTCGAACAGTCCGCTGTTGGTGCCTAGCCCTGTAGGCAGGTCTGTTATTTTGGTAGCAACCTTATTTTTTTCTCCAGTCAAGATGCCCTGCCCTCCCTTGGCTGGGGCACATGACTCAGGCCAATTGGAAGCTCATGTCCTAAAGGGAAAAGGCAGGATCTGGAAGCACTTGGATTCACCTGTCCTGGCGGCGTGCCTGGGGAGGCTGCCCTGGCTCCCGCAGCCTGGATCCCCGGCCAAATCCTCGTCCTCATCCTTCTTGAGGTATGGCTGTTCACTCTCTTGAGATTTCACGAGCTTCCCCAAGGCATTTCAAGGCATTATTATTATTATTATTATTTAAGTCAGAGGGAGTTGGCTTCTATTTGCAGCTAAGAACCCCAATGCCAAGCAATCAGGGCTTAGGCCCACTGCATGAGACAGCACATGAGGGAACACTGTGCAATGAGATAAATATATATTTGTTGACATGAAAATATGTTCATATGCATAGTTTAGCACAGAAGCAGATTGTAATAAAACAGGGTGCATAGTATTTACAAAAAAATATATCCTGCACATTTCACAGAAAAAGGTCTAGAAGAAACTATAATGGTATTCACCTTGGAGGGCTGGACAGTGAATGCCTTTTCTTTAAGCTTATCTTTATTTGCTAACCTTTCTATAGAGTTTGTGTAACGTGTTCTTCTGTTTTCCTTCCTTCCTTTTTTTTAAATCCTCACCCGAGGATATTTTTCCCATTGATTTTTAGAGAGAGTGGAAGACAGAGGGAAAGACAGAGAGAAACATCAATGTGAGAGAAACACATCGATTGGTTGCCTCCTGCACATGCCCCGACCAGGGTACGGTAAGTGCCCTTGACCAGAATCAAACCCGGGACCCTCTGGTCCGCAGTCCGATGCTCTATCCACTGAACCAAACTAGTTGGGTGGTTTTTGTTTATTTTTTGTGGGCACAGGTGAGTCACCAAAGCCACGGGTTCAGGAGTGAAGTGACTTGCTGGACTCAGGCAGTGACTTATTGGCCCAGTGCCAGGGCTTCTGCGACAGGTCAGGTGACCTCACTGACAGCTCTGGCTGCTGCGTGGAAGCGGCTGGAAACACCAGAGTCCCTGTCCTCTGTTTCCCACACCCCCAGGCACCAGTGGCGTCCCACCTACTCTCACAGCAACCACGGGAGGTGCAGGAAAAGACGGCCCAGAGAGGTGAGGTCCCCTGCTCCGGGCCCCACACCCCAGGGCTCACAATGTCCCTTCGAAGTAAGCTGTGTGGACAGCTGCAGAGGGAGGAGCGGGGAGGGGAAGACGAGCGCTCACCTCACTGCTGGGGCCTGGATTCCTTTCAGGGGGCTTCAGGGAAGCAGGGGCTGGTCATAGGGGAGAGTCGATTTGTGGGTGCTCATCCCACTGTCCTTCTTAGCTTCTAGGTCTCAGCTTGAAGGCTATCTGGTCAGAGAGCCTCTCCTTGACCGCTAAGATAGGCCCTGGCCATTCGTACTTCAGCGGTTTGTCTCCTTTGCAGCATTTCATACAACTTGCAGGCACGTCACTTACTGTGCTTCTGCCACCTTGACTTGTAGGCTTCCTGAGGGCAGTGTCTCTGGCATCTCCCCTGTCTGACCCTGCGGCCCTCTCCGAGCAGCTGCTGAAGGATGGAGCACATGAACACAGGCCTGGGTGGTGGGCAAATCACAGGGGCTGGGTCACCGCTGCCTTCATTGGCTGTGTGACCTCAGGCAAGTTGCTGCCTCTCTCTGGGCCTCTTCCAAGCCTTGACCTAAGTGTAAATGTCCAACTCGTTCAAAAGATATCCCCCTTTTCGAATATATTAGGTCTTATTTAAGGGAAGGTAATAGAAGTTGGAGTCATTTACTAAATTATACTTTAAACCAACTGCTGGTTGATTATTCTGAAAACATTGCAATAGTTTTCCCAGGAATCACTGATGTGCAACGAACCCAATCATATTTCTTATTCAATAAACTCTTTTATTGTAAGTTTTTAGATTTCTCCATTACAATAATGAAAATAGCACTAGTATTCGCAACACTTAAACCCAAATCAAAGGGGAACCCCTCCTCAAATTATAAGGTAAATGACACGTAATTGAACGAATAGTAAATGTTGGGCAAGAGGCATTTAAAATATAGAAATAAGGTCAAGGTTTTTGTACGCGTACAAATACTTTAAGGTTTAGTTGATGAAGATGATTGTTTTTGAAAGCATGGGATTTTGAAAACTAACTTATAATTTGTGATAAAACACAACTGTAGAGAAAAGGCAAAATCAAGCAAAACCCAAAATACCCCCAATACGAAAGGAAGTGAACCAAATACACGGGGTCGGTATGCAAACCTCCAGTTCTTTGGCCCAGGAATGGCAACTGAGTGGGTTTCATAGAAATTCTCCATAGAAAGGAATGTCTGGGCCTGGTGTGACATCGCTGTCTCCGGGCCTGTCTCCTCACAGAGGAGAAGTGGCGTGTCCAGCACATCTGTCTGGAGTGGGGCCTGCGTTCCCAATCTCTTTGAGAACAGTCCCCAAACCTGAAAAGGCGAGGCGTCCCTGCGGCTCGGGGCGGCAGGGAGCTGGGGTCAGAGCTGGCCCCCAGCCCTGCCAGCGCTGTCCGAGTGGTTCACGGGCAGCGGGTGGGCCTCTGTGTTGAACACCCAGTCTTCCAGGGACAGCATGTCATCTTCAGAGAACAGAAGATAGAGGTACCTGTGCCAGGCAGGGAGGGGGCGAGACACAGCTATCAGTGCTCTGGGAACAGGGGCCCCGGGAAGGAACCTCAGGGGCCTCTGCAACAGGCCTGTGGCTACGGTGCAGGGTGGGCAAGATCCCAAATCCACTCAGAGGGCTGGACCCAGGGGAGATGCCGTGACGCTGAGAAGAGCACTGGGCTTGGGGCAGACAGCCCTGGTTTAATCCTGGCCCTGCCCCGGCCCTCACACCCAACAGCTTCATTCAGGTCCTTTGCCCCTGGCCTCTGTGGGAGTCCTGCCAGGACACTGTATGGCCTAGCTTCTCCTTGCTGTGCAGGGTGGCCTGAGCCCTGCACTGGCCCAGACTCCTGGGCTCTCCCCGATGTGCCCCTCAGGAGACTCTATAAAGTACATGTGAGGGCACTAAAATGAACGGAGTGGTGACTCCAGAACCCCAGCTTCCCAAGCCATGTGGGTTTTTATTAGAAGGAATGGACCATTCCAGTTCACCCTAAAGGCTCAAGGGCATTGCTCTGGGGAACGGCAAGGAGCCCAGGGGACAATGCAGCAACCCTGCAGAGGAAAGTCACCAGCATATCGACACCGTCACCCTTGTTATTTTGCAGAAGGAGCTTAGTTTTTGGACCTTAAGGAGCCTGAGGAGACAGGTTACAGAACTGAACTTGTCCCACAGCTAATACTTCAGCTATACTAGTGGGTAGAGTCCAACCCAGTCTCACTCTCTGAGTAGAAACTGGCCTGGCCCAAGGCTTACCCATGGGGGGCGGGGGTCTCACACTATGCCAAGCCCCCACCCCTTGGGCCACCTTCCTGTGACTACAGACCCTGACTCTGGGGAAGGGACAGACTGCTGACCGCCCGCCTCCCTAGGAAAGCTGCGTTGTCTGCTGGAAAGAACAGTGACCAAGCCCCGACTCACTTTAGCGTCTCCGCTAGGAAGAAGGTCTGCTGCTTGTTGTCGTGGTTGGGGATGCTGCTGTACACGTCTTGGATCCCGGCGAAACCGGCTTCTGTCCGACAGTATTTCTCCAAGGCCTGGGTATGGCGAGAGGAGAGGACCCCACCAAGCTCTCAATAGGCAGGCCCCTGACCCCTCGACGGGGGACCCCTGGCGTTTGTGGAAGCAGAAGGCCGAGCTATTCTCAAGGTTCAGCGCCTGCCGCCAGGCTGGGCGGCCTGCCGCTCAGTCCCAACGGGAGAGCTGTGCCCGGGCTCTCCACCTGGTGTGAGCCGAGAGGAGGCTTCTCTCTGCCTCTCATGGAATAGACTGATGTCAGACTTGCCCAGTGGGGACAGAGGAAGGCGCTGGTGGTGTTCGTGGCTGGGCTGTGGGACTGTCATCCCAGGATTCTCCATGAAGATATGGTCCCTGGGCTGCAGGTGGGCAAGCCATGGGCTCTCTGTCTTTTGCATGGAAATGCATTTCTCACCCACTGAGGGTTTGCAGATGGGGCCCAGGAGCACAAACACTTGGCCTTCAGAGGCCAAGAACGAGGCCTTTAGGGAAGCAAGAGACTGACCAGCAAGCCATGACAATGATCCTGAGCAGGCCTGTGCCCACCTGAGTATGACACTCAGGGTGTGGCTCTCCCAGGACAGTACCTGCCTCTGAGAGCAGTGGGTGGGGAAGGAGGAGAGGACAGAGAAGGCTCAGCATCCATCAAGGAACCTTCCAGAGTCCCCACACCTACCTTTGACACTTGCCCTAAAGTGGGCATGAGATTTCCCACTAGGTAGCTGGGGACAAGAGGAGAGACAGGTGGGGTGAGTGGGTGGGTGAGCAGAGCCCAGAGAGGGCGGGGGTGGCAAGGGGCTGGGCTGGCTCTGGGGAGAGGAGGGAGGGGAGCTGCTGGCCTAGCAGCTGTTCCTGTTTGAGAGGCGACATCTGAGGCATTGGTCCAGGTTTCAGGGTCAGAGGGCAGCGACCGCATGTGCTCTGGCCCCCTTGGCTGCTGCCCTGCCTTTGCCCCTCTACGTTTGTTGGCACCGGGGCCAGAGCCTCAAGGCTACAGGCCTCAGAACCCTCTTCAAGTTCCTGGCTTGACTGTGCCCAGCTGGGGACTCCTGGCTCTGTGACCATAACCTTGACCCTTGATTTCTGAACTTCAGCCAGATGCCAACCTGGCTTGACCTTCCTCTCAGCGCCTGAGCCACGGGGTTTTGGACTCTGACTGTGACTTCTCAAGGGCACCTGCCACCCATTTAAGCCTCCCCACCCTCCTTCCCCCAGCCCAGCCCAGCCCAGCCCAGCCCACTCACCATCACCACTTCCCAGCCCCACTCCCGGTAGATGGGGTTGTGGGTCTGTCGCCATAAGTACATGTAGCTCTCCACCACCTCGGGTCTCAGGATGTAGTAGCTCTCACTCAGCTGCGTGGCCACCGCCTCTTTGCCGGAGTTAAACCAGAAGGCCTCGGGCCCCAGTTTGGTATCTGTGGAGTGACCAACCAGAGGGCCTGGGTCAGACCACTCACCTGCTGCCCAGGATAGATCCGGGGGTGATGGTTGGCGATGGAGGGTGTGGGTGGGCCTGCCTGGATTGCCTGAGCCTGGCAGATATACAACTTCCCTCTTGGCCCAGACTGGCCAAAGCAAGACCCTTGAGGCCTCAAAATTTTGCAATTTTAGAATGTGAGAATCCAGATGAACTACCCAGCAGTCTGGGGAGACAAAGGTTGGGGTGGTGTTCCCTCACTGTGTGTTTTGAGATATAAGCCCTGCAAGATGTTAATCAGAGTTCAGCCAAGACAGGCTTCCAGGTTTCAACACATTTGGAGAGAAGTGGGTTAAAAAGTAAAACAGTCTAACTCCTGCAGGACTTACCAGATCCTTTCACGTGCTAATATGCAATGAAGCTTCTCCACAGACCGTAGGAAGCTGCTTTTAGCTCCTCTCAGAACCAGCCTTCTGGTTTGACAGTTTGGGAGACACTCCTGCAGGACTTAGCAGATCCTTTCACGTGCTAACATGCAATGAAGCTTCTCCACAGACAGCAGGAAGCTGCTTTTAGCTCTCAGAACCAGCCTTCTGGTTTGACAGTTTGGGAGACTGTTGACATGGAGAGGAGGGAAAAACTGCCCAGAACAAGCACACTCATCCTCGGGCAGAGGGAGCCGACTGAGTCCGGCTGGTGAGGTCTGCTTTGCTGCTGTCACTGTTTTGTTAGTTTGTGGACAATTTACTGCCGTTCCTGTTTTGTGGATGACCACAATTATATAACCACTACCACAGCCACCATTTGTGATGTCAAAGGCTGTGCTGGGTGCTTTACTATACATTACTTCAGTCCTTAAAGGAATGTGTTCTTGGTGAGGGAGGTGTTATTATCCCTCTACCATGCATGTGGGAACTGAGGATCAGAGAGGCTAAGTAACCTGTCCAGGGGAACACAGCGCGCTGTGGCTGTGCGGGATGTTACCCGGGATTTGTCTGATGCCCCCTCCCTACGCTGTGTCCTCTCTCTTTCCTTTCTGAGTCTGACTCTCCAGGCCTCAAGTTTAGGGTATGTGGGTTGGGTCTTCCTCCCTTTAATGCCTGCATGTCCTGTCCAGGTTGGCCGAGGGCCTGGTTCTGGTTCTACTGTGAGCCCTTCCTCCTCCCACCATGGTTCAGGACCTAGAGGCCCTGAGTTGTTTTTCCTCAAAACACGAGCTTTGCAGGATGTCCTACTCTTCCGTGGAGGGCTTCCTGGGAGAGGAATTAGCCAGACCCAGGCCCTTCCAATCCTCTCAGATGGTGCAGACACTCCTACCATCAGAAAACAGTCGTCTTGCCAAGCTGCTAATGGGGTGAGGGCGAGAGCACCTCTTGCAGCCGCCGCGGACAAGCCAGGCTGGCTGGAACAATATGCTCTATTACGCGGACCGTCTTTTATGGTCGGGGCTGATTGTCCCAGACAAATAGCAAGCTTTTTATTATTCCTGAGATTTCCTATTTGTTTATGGTGCTGACAGAGAGAGCTCTTTGAGGGGACTTGGAGACCAGTTTTAGGACCCGTTGTGAATTGCTGGTTTTCTGAACAGCTCAGTCAGGACTCAGCTGCTGCGGTCACAGACACATCTCGGTGGACCTAACAAACCCTCCCATGCTGCTGGCTGAGGGCGCTGGCAACGTGCTTTCTGGGATCAGGGAGAGACCCATCCTGGTGACCTGTGTTACTGTTCACATTGAACGGATGAGAAAACGGAGGCCACCAGCTGGTGAGTGGCCGAGTGGCACCTGAACCAGGAATTTTTTACTGCAAATCTTGGGTCATCTGCTCCAGCCAAGACTGGGGTTAAACTCAGAGTAGTGGGCACCTCCTGAGGCCCTGGGGGGCTGGGGATTGCTCTGAGGGCCGCTGTTCAGAGGGAGCACACAGCGGGGAGCTGAGCATCAGGAGACCTGGGTTCTGGCCCGGCTTAGCCACTCACAGCGGTGTGACTTCGGCTCTGGACTGACTCAGTTTCCCCACGTGTAAAATGGAAGTCAGGTTCATGTTCTCTAACGTGACTGCTGACTCTGGCATTTGACCATTCTGCATGAGTGCTGAGCGGATGGTCAAGAAGCGCTCAAGCTTGGATCAAAGAGGGTGATGAAAGGTGGTGCCAGGAGGTGCCCAGCCCCACTAAATGGAGGGGCTTTGAGGAGGAAAAGCAGAGGAGCTGGAGGGTAGGGGGTCAGGGAGAAGGAATTCTATAGGCTCGGGAGGCCAATGTTTCTGCCTCAGGGTCCGGAGGACCCTCTGCTCTGTGCCCCACCCATGGGGCCGCGTCATGTGATCTGTGGCCACATCATCCCTGAGCCTCAGTGTCCTCATCTGTGTTGTGAGGTTCAGCAATGACGTATGAAGTGCTGAACAATACCTGGCACACACAAAGGGCTTAATACGTCACCCTATTTCCCCTTTAATTTAGTTACAACCTCAGTGCACAGACAGCGCGTCCCTTGTTCAAATTCTGCCTAACTGCAGAGGGCGAGACGTCCCTAAGACCACGGTTCCCTGCACTCCCCCACTCTGCCGGACTCCCAGCTCTTCCTGGTGTCTGGCCTCGGTGTGTCCTGCCGGCCCGTCCCCGGGCAGGGTTACCTGAGCGGTCGTACGACTCGTGGCACGTCTTCGTGATCTGGGCTGCGAGCTCGCGGTAGTGGGCCCTCTTGTCCTCGTCGGCATCCTCGGCGCCCAGGGCGATCATGCCCCCGGAGAAGCAGGCCAGGTGCCCCATCTTGTGGTCCAGGTTCCCCCCGCGCCACTCGGCAATGTAGGTCAGCCCCCCGGGAGACACATTCACCAAGTGGGTCTCGATTGCCTGGGAGCGAGGTGGGAAGTGGGCAGGGAGAGGGGTGTGGGAGGCACAGGGAAGGAGCGGAGAGGACAGAAAGTGAGTATTTTGGAGACAGCAGCAAATGCAGCTCTACTGAGCCCTCTGTCCCAGGCCAAGGGGGCCCACTGACCTCAGCCGGCTGCTGGCCCACTGGGGCCCGTGGGAGTTCTGCCGCTCGCCCAGCTAAGGCCTGGGGCCTGCTGGGGGCTTAGACATAAGGTAGCTCCCCAGGGTGAGTCTCACACAGACTTGAAAATCTACGTACAAAAAATCTCAAAAAATCTTTAAGAATTATTACAGGGAGAGATTAGGGAATCTTAACCTGTAGATGGGCTTCAGGGTGTCACAAATGCCCCTAAAATTGTACACGACACTTGTGTGTATGTCCATTTTCTTTTTCTTAAAAATGGGGTTTTTATTGATTTTAGAGAGAGAAGAAAGGAGAGGGAGGGAGAGAGAGAGAAACATCGATGTGAGAGGAAAACATCCATCAGCTGCCTCCTGCATGCCCCCTACTGGGGATCGAGTCCGAAACCCAGGCATGTGCCCTGGCTGGGAACTGAGTTGTGACCTTTTGGTGCATAGGATGACACTGAACCTACTGAGCCACACCGGCCAGGGCTGTATGTGCATTTTCATGGGACAAGGGCCCATATATTTCATCAGATTCTAAAACAGACAAAACAAAACAAAAACCAGAGAAAATTGAGAGGTGCTCTCTACAGCCCCTCATTACACGCCTTCCCATTTAATGCCCAGGACAAGCCAGGTACGTAGTCTGCAGTGCTCTCCACAAGAGGCCGAGTGCCTTGTCCCCGGTCATGCAGTCAGACCAGGACTGGGACAAGGACCCCCAGATCCCAAGACTCCTCGGGTTCAAACCCCGTCTCTACCAGTTTGGAGCTGTGTGACTTTGGGCGGGTTCTATGTTCTCTCCATGCTGTAACTTCCTTGCGTATAAAATGCAGGTAAGAACATGAGCCACTTCATAGGGTCATGAGGGCTACATGAGATGTGTTGTAAGCTCAGCCTATTTCCCAGCACAGGAGAGTCCTCCATCAACGTTGGCCTTCACAATTCCTCTCCAGCCGGCCCCCTGCCCGCCCTCCTCTGCCCCACTGGCCTCTTCACTCATGCCCCCCAGCCCCGATGAGTATTTTGTGAGCACCTCCTCAGTGCCAGGCTGTGTAGGTGCAGGGGATACAGCCCCTGAAGATGGGCCTGGACCCTGCCTTAGGGAGCTCACCCGTGAGCACAGTGACTTCCCCCCAAATCAATACACACCAATATCACCATTTGTGACCAGCATTTTGAATGAAACAAATTGAGGGGACAGGCCAGGGAAATGTGGGAGGGGTCCTGCTTTGCAGTGAGGTCAGAGGTCTCTGCCACGGGGATGTGCGTGAAGCAGATGAGGGTTCCTGCCTCAGGCTTTGCCCGCTGCTCCCGTCCCACTGCTAACTCCAGCCCGGCCTGGGGCCTCTTCGGGGTGCGTCCTTGGAGAGGACAGCCTAGCCCACACCACTGCTGCCATGTTCTGCTACTATCCCACTATCTCCCTACGTGGTGCTATCCCCATTTTGTGTACACATGTTCATGTATGTTTCTGTGGAACGTGTCTCTCCCAGGACTCTGATTGCCGTGTGACAGCAGAAGCCACCACCAGCAACCTCCAGCCAGGGCCTGGCACACAGAAGGTGCTCAAACCCAATGTGCTCCTTCTCTGTAAGGTCTGGGCTGGTGGGTTGGCTGCAGGACCCTCCCTGAGCACCAGAGGGGGAAGCGATGTTGATGGCCAGGCCAGGGCACCTGCTCACGCGGGGAGGAGGCGTGGACAGCTGGCCACGGCTGGGCAGAGCTGTGTCCAGGCAGCTGCTCTGCATCCCTGAGCGTGCAGGTGCAGGGGCGGGATGGCAGGCCCAGTCCAGGTGCAGAAACATGGTTCAGTTACCCATTGTTAATGCTTGGGAGAGAACACAGACATGAGTTGGAGGGGATCCCAGAAAGTCTCACACTGCAGCCGAAAATCTTCATCTTCAAGACAGTCTCCCATAGGTTATTTCTATTTGGGATTAACCTCAAGCTAAGTAACTTTGGTAAAGAGGAAATGATAATGCAGTTTCTCTTTGAAGAGACAACTGAGATAGCAGATGCAAAGATAAAAATAACAACACAAAAAAACCAAGGCTTCTCAAACTCCGAGAGAAACAAGACAGCACAGGCATCATGGACTGGTCAGGAGGCTTAAATCCTGGCAAGAGACCCAGCAAAGAGCGGACTGAGAGGCAGGCCTGGCCTGAACCCCAGCTCTGCATTCTGGGTGTTGGGCGACTCTGGGCAACTTATTTCACTTTTCTGAAGATTCCCTTTCTTCATCTGTAAAATGAGACTAACTTCTGGGCTGGCTGGGAGGCTATTCAGAGGTTCTGGCTTCCTTAGCCTCCTGGATGGGACCCTACCCCACCTGTGCCCGCCCGAGAGGGACTTTGGCAAGCCAGGCTCCTCTGTGAGTTGGCAGTTGTAAGTAGAGGCAGGAGCACTGCACCTCAAGGCAGTCGGACCCTGTTTGCACCCTGGCTCTGACACTTGTGTGATTGTGAGCCTTTCTGAGCCTCCGTTTCATCACCTGTAAGATGGGGGCTAAGGCACTAAATGTACTTCCCAGAGAAGGCCAGAATGACCTTTAGTGCCTAGTCCCTGTCCTTCTTGTCCTTTCTCCCATGACCTTCAGGGGTTGCCCAGTCAGCCTGTCTGAAGCCCCCATGCCCACCGCACGAGATATTGGTCTATCCTGCACACTGACACTGCCCCCAGCCCCCAGCCCAGCAGCTTTTCTAGGCTGTTGCTTGGGTCCCACCCAGAGGTTCTCATGTAACCTTGTTGAGGTGCAGATGGGCCATTGGGATAAACATTTTTTTAAACCGATTTTTAGAGAGGGAGGAAGTGAGGGAAAGAGAGTGAAACATAGACGTGGGAGAAATACATTGATCAGTTGCCTCTTGCATGTGACCTGATGGGGGGATCAAACCTGAAACCTAGGTATGTGCCCTGACTCAGAATCGAACCCTGGACCTTCTGGTGCATGGGATGACACCCAACCAACTGAGCCACACTGGCCAGGGCTGACCATCAGATTTTTAACGTGTGACTTTAAAAAAAATATTTTTTAAATGGACTTTTCAGAGAGAGAAAGAGAAACAGCAATCAGCTGCCTCCTGCACGCCCTACTGGGGATCAAGCCGGCAATTGGGGCATGTGCTCTGACCTGGAATCAAACCAGCAACCCTTTGGGGCACAGGTTGAAGCCCCAGCCAACTGAGCCACACCAGCCAGGGCTGACCATCAGGATTTTTAACAGGCCAACAAGGTTGACAACCACCAGAACGCTCTTCAAAGCCCCCAACTTGGCACAGGCCCAGCCCTTACCAGGGTCGGAGACACTGCAGGGGAAGATCAAATACAGGAGCAAAGCCAGTTGTCTCCTATTCAATCAAGTGTTTCCATAAAGCTCCCAGTTTGCTTAAATAATTCGTGGCCATTTCTTCCCGGAAGCCTCAACTACTGTGCGCCTGAGGGCAGGGAACTAGGCTGCTCGTTAACTGCATGTGGGTGGCAGGAAGGGCAGCACCTGGCACCCAGCTGAACCAGATCTGACAGGAAACACTGGCTGTGGGCTGGGCTCAGCCATAGAAGCTGTGTGGATGGGGCTGAGCCAGGCTGAGCTGGGACTGGAGTCCCAGGAGCTGCTTCATGACTGAGTCTTGGTGCCTGGGCACTGGGCAGGGAAACTCATTAGTGAGGCCGTAGCTTAGAGTCCACAGCCCTGCAGGCCTGTTTCAATGTGCTTCCTTTAAGCACTGCCATTGCTGCCTAGATTCATGTGATCGGAGGGCAGTGAGAGATCATCCATCCACCCACCCATATTCCCCTACCCATCCACCGTCCATCCTTCCACCATCTATCCAGAGCCAGGAGACCTCGCTCTGGCTTCAGCTCTGCCAGTGCCGTGCTGTGAGGCTTTGAGTAAGTGCTTCCCTTCTCTGGGCCTTGGTTTCCATCCACATAAAGAGAAGGGACAGAGCTGGATGCTCCACTGACAGAGGCCCCTCCCACTTGGATGTACTAGCTGTCACCTCTGGCTTGGCAGGAAGGTGGCTGAGGGTCTTGTTTTGCCGCCTCCTGCCTGGGGGCTGCCAGCCACCGCCTGGCTGCGTTTTGGGCTCCGGCACATCAGCTGAAGCACAGACACCGAGGTTTCTGAATCAGACTGCCTGCCGCTTCCCGGGAGGCCTCAGACAAATGAGCGCCCCTCCTCGAGCCTGGGTTTCTATCTGAAACAAGGATGCTAACATGGCCCTAATTTCAAGGCGTTGAGAAGAGTTATGAGACAGGTGTGCAGTGACCGATGGGGCAGGAGCTGTCTGTGGTTCCCCTGGCCAGCGCACTGTGGGGGAGGGACAGACAAGGCCCTGGCACCGGGCCTGTGTGAGCCGGGGGGCGAAGGACCGTGAAGGTGCTGTCTTACCGTCAAGGCTTCGTAGTACATGTCTTTAGCCTCCGTGTCTGTCTTGGCTGACATCAACCAGGATTTGATCAAATATTCATAAAAACTGTCCCCGAGTCCTCCAACCGAGACGTGGTCTGTGAGGGGAAAGCAGACAGAACATTATCTCCACCGCCGAGGCGCGGCAGGACCAGTGGAGCGCACATCTTGCCCACTGGGCTCGTGGCCTGCGGGCGGAGCGTGCGGGTGGAGCAGCATTTAATCAGCAGCCCCCCAGCCCGGAACAGCGGCTGAGAGAAAGACACAGCCTGCGACGCGGGGAGCCAGGCCTTCTCCAGCGCAATGGCCCTGCACACAGGTGCAGGGGCTCAGCCAGGGCTATACATCATGTCGCTCTAGCAGGCCGAGGACGGCAGGGCCTCTGGTTATTAACTGGAAATGAGCTGCATTTCTTTAAAAAGATAATCTGGTGGCAGGGAGTGGAGATTTTTATTACCTGGTGACAAACATGGTAATTAATGCCGGGAAGGTTCCTAAAAGGCCATGAAGAGGAGGAAGGAGAGGCTTGATTTAGGCGGTCAGGGTACAGAGCCTTTCTGGAAAAACTGAGTTTAAATTTAGCGAATTGGGATGAATGGAGTTCAAAGGAGCAGGGGGAGGACAAATGAGATTTGAGGACGCCCCTCTCTGCCTGGTGGCATCGCCCGAAGTCCCCACGGAGTAGGACCTCCAGGCTGTGGTTGAATGAGGAGGCATCTCCACCCAGGGCTGTCCTGGGAGAAAAACGGGGTGACCAAGGAACCACAGAAGCAAGACATGGACAGAAAACACTCACATGCTTTAAAAAGTAACAACGGGGACACATAAAGGCATTTAATGACATAATGCAGAGCAAACGTCACTTCCCTGTTAGGATTCACTTAAGCAGAGAGAGGGGATGGGGGATGGATTAAGGTAGGGTGGGTGGAATGGGAAGAATATTTTCAGCTCCTTTGCAGAAACGGTAAAAAGAGTAAGAAATAGAGAATACACTGACAGCTACCAGGTCGATGATGGGCGAGGGGTTTTGTTGTATTATTATTATTATTTTTAAAATATATTTTATTGATTGTGGGCTAGGAATGGAACAAACACTTGCAAAAACTGGAACCAACCAGGTAAAGCCTAAGCCTTGAGGAGTGGATTATTTATAACATCTTCCCCAGAACCTTGCAAGGTGAGCACTATCAACCCCATTTACCGGATGGGAAAAAGGAGAGCGAGCCTAACCCGCTCACCCGAGGCCACCAAGCTGGCAGAGCTCTCACTCTGCAGCTTCACACAGTCAACCAGAGGACGAAACCAAAGAGGCACAGAGAAGGACAGTGCACAGAGAAGGACCAGAGGGTGACGGCAGCCGGGCCGGGGAAAGGGGCTGAGAGGAGGCCCCCACAGTAAACCAGCCTTCGGCCCCTACACAAACAAATCCTGACCAGCGAGGTTTCAGGAACGGAACAAACACTTGCAAAAATTGGAACCAACCAGGTAAAGCCTAAGCCTTGAGGAGTGGGAGGGGGTGGGTGTGGGCTGGACTTTGCCAGTGAAGAGGGAAGAGAGAACCAGCACAGCACACCCCTCACCCCCTATTCCTAGGTGGAGGGCACACAAAGGGCAGGGCGGGGGGTGCCAGGCCCAGCATGTCGATGGCGTGTCCATGTTGGAGTAGGAGGTCTGTGTGGAGCAGGGATGGGGGGAAGGCTGTAAGCAAACTGAGTCAGCCTCTGCCTCGAGCCGCTGAAGCTCACAGCCCACAGAAGGAGCCCTGGCTCACAGGTGGCAGCCAGGGCACTGCCATCTCCACACTCATCTCCTGGCCCTGCCTCCCCTCACTGTTTCTCCACCACCCCACCTCCGGCCCCCAGCCTTCCCTGCTATTTCTCACCTTGTAAGGCTAGGCTTCCTCACTGGGCACCTCAGCTTCCTCCCCTCAGAAAGGCCTCCCCAGTGCTCTCATGACCCCTCCCCTCCCTCCCTGCAGGGTGACCATGAGGGAGAGTGAGACACACACACACACACACACACACACGGCCTGGCCTGGCAGAGCACCCAGTGGGGGCTATCCCCCGGTTGCTGGGGGCGTGCCTGATGCTGTTGTCAGAACCTGTTTGGGGTCTGCCTCCCGGACTAGGCTGTGGGCTCTTTGTGGAGAGGGACTGCGTAGGATTCACATTTTAGGTTCAGGACCTTTACTGCACACAGCAGCCGCCCTGAATGAATGAAAGGAAGGTAGGTTTGAGCTGTGCTGGAAAGGGCCTCAGATGCCAAGCCAAAGAGTTTGGATTTCATCACAGGTGTGTCGTGGAGCAGGCTTCACCTGGCCGGTGTGTGCAGGAGAGGGGAGCCGGGTGGCCAGGACTCCACAGGCGACCGAGACCGGACACCCACGTGGGGCGGTGTGGATAGTCTCTCAGGGGACCTTGACTGAAGTGGACAGTTCTCACTTGGAGGTCCCACTGCTTTCTAGCTGCCGTGTGTGTGTGTGTGTGTGTGTGTGGTGTCGTCTCGGTGCTGGGTGATGTACTGGGAGAAGCCTAGGCCTGGGTGGGAATCAGAGGCCGGATCTGCTATTAGCTCCAGGCAAGCCATTTCCCCTGCCAGTCCTCAGTCTTCTCAAGTAAAATGCTTTTAAAGGGGAGCCCGAGTTGGTGTAGACAGGCCTTAGAGCAGAGGTGGGTTCTGCTGCTTCCTAACCATGTCAACATCTCATCACACTGGGCAGCAAGAAGCAGCACCCAACAAGCCGGGAAACCTGCTGGCAGAAGACAGCACACACTGGGGAGGCCGCCAGGCTCACGCTCCCTTTTGGAAGAATCTAGACCTGCCACTGCCTTCCCACCGAGGAGAGAGTGGGATTCAGGCAGTGGACAAGGAGGCCGAGCCCTCCAGGGCTGGCAGCTCTCTGAGCTCTCATCCGTGATGGGTGCCAGCAGGAGCCTGGTGGCTTCTCCGGCTGAGATCCTAGCAGCCAGAGGTCTTGGTCTCCCCTGTTTCCCTGAAGCTCAGCTTCAAGCAGGAGTGGGGAGCTGCCAAGAGCACCCCAGTTCCTCCTTTGCCTCTCTAAGCTACAATTTCTACAGTTGCAAATCGGCTAAACAGAGGATTCAACAAGAAAAAAGAATGTGAACACACTTAGCTTATGCAAGTGGGGAATGTTATCATCTGGAAAAATACACAATCATAAAAAAAACACCCTGATGAAAACCTGAGATGACCCCAGGCGCCAGAGCCTGGGAAGGAGGAAGCAGGCGCCCAGATGTAAGCCCCTCTGCTCTTTGGCAGGCTGTGGATTCATATTTTATTAATATGAAACAAATTTTCACACGTGACCGACTTGGCCCAGCCCTGTGACCCCTGGCGCAGCCTGAAAAGAAAATTATGCTTCTCAGTGGGGGCTCCCCGGTAATTTGCCAAGGTGGCTGTCAGCTGGAAGCCACACCCTCTCCTTTTGTGGGTTTTGCTGCGTCGTCCTGGAGCAGCGGAGGCCAGCAGCCGGGCAGTTTATCTCTTTGTCCAGTCAGGCCTTGCAATTAAAAGCAGTAACAGTTACTGAACGGTCTCTTCCTGTGGCCATAATCTTAATTCAACCCTTCGTTTTCTCCTGCACTTTTGGATTTCATAGAATGTTTGGTTAAAAATACTGTGCGTTTCTAGAAGTGGTTTTCGCAGGAGGCCACTTGGGAGTGAGGTCATCACCAGGGAAACGTCCTGGGTCCAACTTCCTGGGCCTCGAGACCTGCGATCAGGGAGGCTGGGGCTGGAAGGACAGGCCCTGCCTGCACACTGTTACTCATGGGCCCGTCTCCAGCAGATGAACTGAAATCTGTTTCCTGCAGCTTTTGGCCATTACTCCAACCCCCTCCACAGCACACAAAGAACATATCTCCAGTTCTTCTCCCATTTTGCAGGAGAGGAAACCAAGGCTCAAAGAGATAAAATGAACCCCCCTCATTCCCAGCCATGCAGTAATCAGACCCATGTCTCCTTTGACGCCAGCCCTGGCTGATACCATAACAGCTGGGGCTAGAGGGGGTGGGAGAGGGAGAGGAGCCCTTGTTTGGGCAGAGGCAGTGAGGTGTGGGCTCTGGGGAGGCCCTTGAGCAGGGCCCATGGAACCTGCTGCCACCAGTTGGTGCGATGACCACAAGACACGACCGGGGCCTTGGTCAGGAGGGCAAGGTGGAGCAGGGATTCTCAGCAGGGGCAGTGCCAGGGGCCTGGAGACTTTTCAACACTCTCGCCTGAGTGTCCCCCCAAGACCCATTTTGTTTCAGCAGGTGAAGCTGGGGGCTGTGAACGAGGCTCCACAGGTGACCAGGTGACCAACATCTCTGGCTGAGAAGCCTCTGCACGGAGAACAGCAGGAAGCCCTGGGACCTGTTCTGGCACGTGTAGGACACTGCAGTGGAATCGTGGTTTCTATATCGCTGTATTAGGTAGGTTCTGCTTAAGTTTTAAATCTAAAATCAAAGGGGCTAAGCAATGCCGGAAGGGTGAGGGATGATGGAGGCATCAGCGGGCACAGAGATGGAGGGTGTAGCCCTGATGGAGGCTGGAGACAGCTGGTGTGAGGGGGACGCGCAGGGCATCACCACAGCAATGACAACCATAGTGAAAGCTCCCCCAGCTACCTGGTGGGCGGGGCACCCAAGAGCACTGAGCGAGTGACTCTGGCCTGTGCCCTGCAGGGGCCTCGCCGGGAAGCTGGCCAGGAACCCGCTAAGGACGGGGGCCGTGTCTCTGTACTCACGTTGTATCCAGTTCCCACTCACTGGACTGATGAAGTTGGGGTAGAGGCCGAATGGCTTGTCGATCTTCCTGAGGAACTTGCGGATGTGCCTGACCTGCCGGGAAATGGACACCAGGCACACCTTCACTTTTCCGAAGAAGCCAGCCCCTCCCAGCTCGCCAAGGACCAGGCAGCTGGTTCAGACCTCGAGGAGGCAGGAAGGGGGAGCTGTCAAGCCAACAGTAGGCTCCAACCAGAGCTGGGGGGATGGCCTTAACCTGTGCCCTTGTGCGGGCGCTGCAGGAGTGCCACAGGGGCCTGGCTCACCATGTCTGCACTGACCACTCT